CACAAACAATATTCAACTCTAGTGTCTTTTTAACTGCGAGCATGTTTTGGGCCTTGTGCTTATATCCCAATTTCATAAATGCTCTTGAGACAAGTTAATCTCATAAGAAGCGGCATCACTTCCACACTTACATAGGTGTGTATATCCAGAGTGCCCCTATATATAAAATACTACGACTTATATATATAGTCCGTAGACAACATTAAGAGCATAATTCATCCTACTAACATACACGTTATCACTATATTTATCCACCGTATCGATTTTCTAAAAATGGGTGCTTACAAAATTTTTCTGTCTAGTGACCAAACTAATCATACGTATAGTTTGTTTTTACCACATTGAACCTAGAATTTTGAGGTTACAAAAGACTAAGTTAGGTTCCTACTATAGATGATTACCCAATAGACTCTAACCCCATTCGTATTAATATCTTACTAATGTTATCCCTTGCAAGGCCTTTAGTCAAAGGATAAGCCAAATTTCCTTTTGGTCTTACATATTCTACACTAATCACTCCATCCCCAACTAACATTTTAATAGAATTATGCCCTCTCGTTATATTTGTAGAATTTCCATTATATATATCATTACTAGCTCTCGCAATAGTAGCTTGATTTTCACAATATGTTGTTATTGCAGGTGAGAATGTCATATAACAAATTCTTTAGCCATTCGACATCTTTGCTGGCAGAATCTAAAGCAATAATATCAGACTCCATAATAGAGAGTGAAATACACGTTTGCTTATTTAACCCCCAAGATATTGCACCACCCGCTAATGTATATATCTATCCGGATGCTGATATTGAATCTTGGATTTCATTATTCTAATTAGCATCACTATACACTTCGAACACATTGGGATAACCCACATATATTATGTCATAATTGATAGTTCCTTCCAAGTATCTTAATACTCAAGATATAGCATCCCAATGCTTTTTACTTAGGCAACTTGTAAATCTACTAAGTTTGCTAACCGCATATGCAATATCAGGCCTCGTGCTAGTCATTGCATACATTAAACTACTAATTACCCTAACATATTCAAGTTGAAATATACATCTCTCATGAATTTTTCTTTAACTTAATATAAGGATCTATAGGAGTAGAGATTGGCTTGCTATCAATATGCTCAATTTATTAAGTATTTTCTCAATGTAGTGGGATTAAGTCAAATTAATTTATTTTCTTTCTTACTATTTTGATATCAAGTATCACATCAGCCTCTCTTAAGTCATTCATATCAAAATTAGATGCGAGGAACTTTTTAGTTTCCTCCACAATTTCTAGATTAGAGTCAAAGATAAGCATGTCATCTACATATAAAAAATTATGACAAATAAAAAATTTATTTTCCTACTATATATATAATTATCAGCCTCATGTCTCTCAAAAACGTTTGACATCAATACATGGGCAAATTTATTATACCATTGTTTAGGTGCTTAGTTTAGTCCATAAAGTGATTTAACCAATTTACACATTTTATTCTCATAACCTAACATTTCAAACCCTTTGGGTTGTTCCATGTATATTTCGTCATCTAAAGTACCGTTCAATAAATCAGTTTTTACATCTATTTGATGTATGACTGGATGATTAGTAGAGGCTAATGCTAAGAGCAATATAATAGTAACAATTCTTACCACAAATGCATGTCTCAAAATAATCAATTCTTTTTTTTTGTTTAAAACCTTTAGCAACTAATCTTGCTTTATATTTATTAATAGAACCATTAGAATTCATTTTTCTTTCAAAAATCTATTTACATCCAATGGGTTTAAAACTTGGTGAAAGATCTACCAATTTACAAGTTTTATTAGTTATTACAGACTCCATTCTATTATTTCTAGCTTCTCTCTAAAAAATTACATCTTGAGATGCTAAAGCTTCATTTAGAGATGTAGGATCTTCCTCCACATTTGAAACTATAGGTAATTAATTCAAAATTTTATTTTGATTAGTTTCAGCAGGATAAATATAAATGTCAAGTCCAAAGTCATAAGATGGATCTCCTCTAATTCTCTTACTTCTTCTTGTTTCTATTATTTCATCATCACTATTTTCTATATGTTATTCATCAACATTATGATCATTTTCATGATTATTTTTATTTTGCATGCTACTTAATTCATTCAACTCATTTTTACAAGTGAGATTTTCAAAAAAATCAGCATATCTAGATTCCATTATTGTGTTAGCATTTAGATCAAGAAATCTATAAGTTTTACTATTATAAGAATATCCCACAAAAACACATTTAGATGTTCTATGACCAAATTTATTTCTTTTACGATTTGGAAGTCCATACTTTGAATATGGAATTCTATTCAAAATAAAATATGCTGATGATAAAATAAAATATGCTGATGATAAAGCTGCACCCCACAAATTTAATGGCAAAGAAGAAGAAATAAGCATTTCGTTTACCATTTCAATTAAAGTTTTATTTTTTCTTTCTGCTGGTCCATTTTGTTGAGGGGCATAAGGAGCAGTTACTTGATGAATGATACCATTAATTTCACAAAATTCATTAAAGTCATTTGATAAATATTCTCCTCATCTATCACTTTTAATTAATTTGATTTTCTTACTAAGTTGATTTTCAACTTCTGCTTTGAAAACTTCAAATTTTTCAAACGCCTCATCTTTATGTCTAAGCAAATAAACATAAGAAAATATTCAAAAATTATCAATAAAGGTAATAAAATATCTTTTACAACCTCTAGTAAGAACATTGTTTAAATCAAATACATCACTATGTATAAGACCTAACAAGTCACTATTTCTTTCAATTGAAGTAAATGGTTTTCTAGTAATTTTAACTTGTACACGAACTTCACATTTTTATGTAGATAATTTATCATAATTAGAAATCAATCTTAATTTAACCAAAGATTTAATAGAAACATAATTAACATGTCTTAATCTACTATGTCATACATTACAAGAAGTAACAATATATGCAGAAGACTTACTCATTTCATTAACAAGATCAAACTTGAACATTCCATCACATGAGTATCCCTTGCCAATAAATACACCATTTTTTGTCAAGATGAGTTTGTCAAACCCAATGGCCTTTTTAAAGCCCTTTTTGTTCAAGATACATCATGAACCAATGTTTCTTTTCATATCTGGTATGTAGTACACATTTTTTAAGGTGAGCACCCCAAACTAAACTTTAGTTCCACCTTTCCAAGCATATTTGTCATAGCTTGGGTTCCAAGTTGAACTGAATTACCATCACCCATCGGTTCAAAAGTCTTAAACATGCATCGATTGTTAAACACATGAATGGTAGCATTGGTATCAACCTACCATCCATTGTCTTTATCGATCATATTTACTTCAATGACCATTGTTACAAAATTTTTTTGCAGTAGCCAAGTTCACTTGGTCTCTAGCCCTTTTGAGCCCTTTCCTGTGTGGGCACTCTCTTGAATAGTGTCCTGACTTTTTACATACATAACAAGCGGCTTTATTTTTATTTTTATTTTTATTGGCAATAGAGTTTTGGTCCTTATAATTTTCATTATGGACCTTAGAAAAAAAACTTCTTGTTAAAATGAGCACTTGAATTTTGCTCAACAAAGTTTACCATAGAGTGAAAATTAATTGATTCATCTTTCTTTTCCCTAAGTCTATTTTCTTCTTCAATTCGAAGAAATCTTTGAAGTTGAATTAAATCGAGATCAACTTTCTTGTGTTTCATCTTCTTTTGGTACTCTCTCCAAGATGGAGCTAACTTATGAATTATAGAGCCTACTAGAAAATATTCATCCACACAATCCTTAAGTTAATTGACTACAAGCTGTAACTCATATAAAACGTTAGAGATTAAAAATATTTTGTTACCAGACTCTTATGTGAGGTACTTGGTTTTAAGTAGTTTCTATAGCTCTGTCGTTGTGCAATGGATGCCTACATGTCATGGATCGGGTCCGTCAAGGCATTTAAGATATGATCCTTGCATATATATTCATCCTCCATCCATCGCTTGTATGATTAATTTGTTCATCGGTGGAGTCATCCAATGGTGGCGGCGATGCAGGCATTGACTCGGTGGTTATGTAAGTCACTTTGATAGTAGTAAGCAAAAGAAGAACATTTTGTTGTCATCTCATGAAATTCAGCCCGTTGAAGCGTTCGGGTCGAGTAAAATCGTGATTCATGACCTTCAAAAAAGTCATGGCATTCTCCTTTCTATCACCTATGGTATCGTCTTGAGTTGTTAGAGTTTTGGTGGATGAAATGGGGACAAAAAATAGTACGATTTGCAAAAATGAAAGCTCGAACTCTTCTTGTTTCGAGCACGTAGAAGCACTATCTCAAGACGATATTTTCCCCCCCTTCGCAATTTGTCCTCAGGAGATAGAGAAAGAGAGAAAATCGAGTAAAGAGTTAGCCCACTGGTTTGCTTGCTGGAATTCATAAGAAAATGTGCATTGAGAAGCTCAAAAGTGTGTTGTAAAAGACAAAATCGTATGGATAGGAAGGCCCTTGTTATAGAGCATCAAGAGGCTGAATTACATGCACTTGATGGCTGCTACCATCCTCCATCTCATCAATAGCTAGATGACTGTTGGATGTCCCACAGGAGGCTAACAAAAAGATAATGAGCCACGAGCTCAACCCACACGTTCAAAGTGCGCCATCAAGCACCCTTGCTCCCACGCCCTCACAGATGCGTCTTCTCTCTCTTTTATACTTAGAGTATATTACATGGGAATGCGCGCTCTTAAATATAGCTCAACAAGCTCTCTCATCTTCAATGTGGGACTCAAACCCACATCTTTCTCTCTCTACAAAGTTATTTTAGGAAAGTACAATAAAACCAAAGTGTTGTTTTGAAATACACTTGAGCATTTTTCAAACAAAAAATACTAACAGAATCTCGTTCAACCACAAAGTTACTATAATTTGTTTCTACGTACCTCAATTATGTAAGTCACCTATGCAATTTTTAACAAGATTAACAATTGAAGGATAAGGGATCAAAAGATAAGTTATTTATTTTGCTAATGCATCCTTTTATATCATAGCCATAAACAGTGGACTTTTTATTTATTGCATTACATCAAGGCTTAATTAGCCTGTAATATTCACTTTCTAAGGGAAACTCACATCATAAACCGGCTGCTTGTTTGGAAAGAAGAGTCCGAAGTTTTGTTCAATCCCTGCTGGCTTTTTGTTCTCATTGAACATAGCAAACACATAGGTTTCCAAGGGCCTGCCAGCCCTCCGTGGTGTTCCTTGACCCACATGTCGCACCAACTTTGAGTTATAGGTCTGGGCATTGCCCGTTGTGGCTGCGGTGCCGCCGGCCGAAGGCCACCCACTCTCACTGACCACGATCGGGACCCCACTTCCCCCCACCTTCTCCATTGCAGCATAGACACCATCTACAATCGCATCGAAGAGACTACGGTACCTAAATTGACCATCTGTTACCACATCAGAATTAGCAGTGAACAACGCGTAGTCGAGTCGAATGTCTCTCATGTTACCTATGTAACTAAAATAGGGATACACATTCACTAGCAGTGGTGCATTGGTACTGGAAAGGAAACGGATGATGGATGTCATCGTTGATGAAGATTGGGAAGAGAACGCGCCTGCGGATGGTGGAAAAGATGTGCCTATCACAGTGGTGGCAACAGAAGTGGAAACCTTGATCCTGTCTTGTAAGCCTGCTGACCTTATTGCATTGTATACATTCTGCATGGCTGGAAGGACATTACCAGCATCACCACCAGGGATTAGCTCATTGCCAACGGCAATGTAGCGGATATCGACCGCAGGCAGGTATGCTTGGACATTGGTTCTGATCCAGTTGGCAACATAGGACTGATCGGTTGCGGCCTGCCGGATGTTGTTATTTGGGAGGCCGAGCATAACTTGGATGCCAGAGCCTCGAAGGGCTTGTAAGGCTGCGGTGTTGGGGTCATAGAGTCGCATCTTCTTGATTCCCTTGGACTGATAGAGGGCTACAACTTCATTTGGTGGTGGAAGGTTGTCGGCCCACATTCCATAACAAGCACCCACGGTTTGGGCTCCTGACGTACAAATGCACAATGATCAAGGTGTGAAATGTTTAAGCTCAAGGACACAAACTAGAAAACCTTTTATATAAGGGTGCGGTTTGTATAGAGCCTAGGCTCTAAACAATCAAATTAGAGCCTACATTCAAATAGTGTCAAGAAATGTGGTTTCAACACCGGAAATCTTTGTGATAGCTGTAAAATATATTTTCATCTTTATTTATAAAGTTTAAAGCTTAAGAACTAGTGTAGATTGACATATCTATGAAAACTTGAAAATCTTGAAAAGTGAAGGTTCAAAAATGTATTACAAAATATACTATTTCCAAAACTTTAAATCCATTTTCTCCTCATGTCCATGCATCTTGATGTCGAGATGATCAATTTGAGGACATTTGGGCATCAAAACAATCTCTTCTAGTGAAATTTTTGAGGTAGGCTATAATTTGATTGTTTAGAGCCTCGACTTAATATAAACTGTTTTGTTTATATGAGGGATTTTATACTATGATACTATTTATTTTTGTATAAAGAGGTCACTGTCACTTTTAGCCATTGGATGTGACGTCTAGTAGATGAAAGTGTGTCACAATGTTTGAAAAATTTTATTTTGGACTGTGTGCCCAAATAATGACATATCATCAACGATCTGATTTCAAATCTAATGGATAATGATGATTGTGACCTTCTTATATAAAAAATAAATGGTCTAATTTTATACATTTCCTTGATATACTTAGGATTCATGTGTCTATAAAGTTGTCAACATATGATGGACCCGTGCTATTATTGGAATTGGACTAGTTAGTCTAGTCAAAATCGATTCGATTGAGCCGAAAGATTTGATCGGATTTAAAAAGAAGAGAAAAAGTCAATATTAGATTAAAAATATTTTTCTATTTATTTTTTAACGTAAATTGGGGCCTAGAAAGAGTGGAACCCAATACAGCACGATGACACACCACCACCTATGCTTAGAGCCCATTCTCAAAATACATTTACAAAAAAGTTGTCAACTATGTTTAGCAAGTTCAACAAATAAAAAACAGCTAGCTCACGTAGGTATTGATTTTGACTATTTTCAACAAATCTAAATTTCTACTTTGGACCTGAACAACTAAAGCAGTAGTCGCAAGGTCCACACACTTTAGAAATCTCAGTCTATGGTTAACCCCTTTTGTTTTGATTGTGATTAATTTCACTTGAAACTACACGCAGAAGATACCAATGGTTAACCCCTGGGTGTAACTTTTCATATGTTTGTTTACGCTATTCAAGCACAGAAGAATTAAAACCCGTCGAGTTCGCAATAAGTTGTCTTTTATCATGGTAAAAGTCTTACATTTTTTAAAATGGGATTGGGGTCGTGGTAGTATCATCATTTATGCTCCAGTTAAGGTTTAGGCTTCTATTCTCATCAAATACATTAAAAAACCACAAACTATTTCAAAAATTTCCAATACACTTGATATTTAACTATTTAATATTCGGGATTGACTACAAAGAGACCATTTATCTTTGGACATGGAAGTTACAACCATTCCCACTCATTAGATGTCAAACCGGATGGCTTGGAGTAAGTCACAGAGTACGAGAATGTGTTTTTTTTTTTAAACTTTGTGTCTATTCAGTGACACTCTTACAACGACTCATTTTGAAATTTAAGAGACAAGAATGTTTGTGACTTCTATGTACAAAAGATAAATTGTCTCCTTGTAAATAATCCTCGAAAAAATTAGGTCATGAGTTTTGGATGACTCTCGATGATGTCGAAGGACTTTTGGAACATCACAAGTCGCCCTTCCATCACCGTAACACTTGACCGTACACTAGTTAAGGGTTAAAAGTAGTTTGTTTTCCCCCTTATAATCTTCACTGAATTTTCATTGATTTATAACAAAATAAGTTATACTGGTGTTCCAAAATCCGGATCGGCGGGGCAGATCATTCACTTATAGATCTATACTGGATATCAATGATGGGGATTGGGCCCGGATCGGTCCGTACCAGTGATCCAAAAAACTTTAATAAATAAATAAAATAAAATTAAAATTAAAATAGGGATTTATAGGGTGGGAATTTAAGGGGATCTAAAAAATCGTTAGATAAGCTTCAGATAAAAAGAAAAATATAAACAGGGTTTCAGGAGGAAACTAAGGCAGCACCTGTACTGTCGCAGAACCAGCTGTGTCCTGACTGATTCCCATCCAAAATTTCAATCCAAATTCAGAATTTGCTGCATTTTAAAACATTTGATTTATGCAAAGTGTTTTGAAGGCTAGAGCAGGGTTTCCTACTTGAGAATGCAAATTCTGTCTTTTCAATAGGGACATCTTCTCAACTTTAAATCGAAATCATTCCAATTGGAAATGAAAAGGTACAGTGGGTAAAACAAGGTTAAGTGGCTTCGGCAATAATTTGTAGTAAAATACAAGACAACTCCACTCGTTGTGGGCCTGTTGACCATCATTCCTAATTCCTATCAGTGAGGTGCAGGTCTGTGTTGAACGAATAAGGTGATGAAAAAATACACTAAAAAAACCAAAAAAGAAAAAAAAAAAGAAAGAAGAAGAAGAAGAAGAAGAAGAGGAGGAGGAGGAGAATATGTGCTTATATATAATATATATTCAACCATCCAATCAAGATCGGATTTGGAGTATAAC